AAAAAAAAACCCACAACAACTTTGTGACAAATAACCACAAACTTAGTTATGAATGATATAACTATTCTGGAAGTTGCCCATGTATCTAAATGCTTAACAGTGTTGGGGCCACCTGGCTCCATGAAAGGAAAACCTATAAACTGGTGCTAGGAACCACAGTGAATTTATTTATTTATTTATTTATTTATTTATTATTGTTTAGTATTTTTTTTTTTAATCTTTACCCGAGGACATTTTTCCATATTTTGTTCAGATAGAGTGGGAGGGAGAGAGAGAGAGAGAGAAACTTCGACGTGAAAGGGACACATCAAGTGGTTGCCACCTGCACGACCCACCCGGGGCTGGGGACAAACTGCAACTGAGGTACGTGCCCCTAGCGGGAACCAAACCCGGGTCTCTCTGGACCACAGGCTGATGCTCCAGCTGCTGAGCCAAACCAGCCAGGGCTTATTTATTTATTTTTTTAATCTTCACCCAAGAACATTTTTTCCATTGACTTTTAGATAGACAGGAAGGGAGGGCGGGAGATAGAAACATTGATGTGAGAAAGACACATTAATTGGCTGCCTCCTGCATGCCCCCCACTGGGGATTTGGCCCACAACCTGGGCACATGCCCTGATCTGGAATCAAACTGGCAACCTCTTGATGCATGGGTTGATGCTCAACCACTGAGCCACACCAGCCGGGCAAAATAACTTCTTAATACATCTGGCACGTACCTGCTGAGTAAGTGTACCTCCTTGAGGATACGTAGAGAAAGCCAGCTTTAAGGAAATTATTATTTTGCATATGGAACACATAGCAAAGTTGAGGTCTGATTCCAATTAACGAGAAGAATATTGACGGAATTTTGATCGTCTGGGTTTTCTGGCAACCACAACTAACTCAATACTACAATTACCAAAGTTGTTTTGTTTTGTTTAAAGAATAGTTTTATTGATTTTTAGAGCAAGAGAAACATCAATGTGAGAGAGTAACATCGATCGGCTCCCTCCTGCACGTCCCCACGTCCACCCAGGGATGCAGCCCACATCCCTGGTGTGTGCCCTGACTGGGAATCGAACTGGCAACCTTTGGTGCACGTCTGGGATAACACCCAACCAACTGAGCCACACTAGCCAGGGCCAAAGTTGATTTTAATCAGATCTGTAATTCCACTGCTTTAGTTAAGGAGCTCAAGGTTGTGAGAAGACAAAAGGATTCCCCTCTGAATTTGGAGTTGTGCCAGACATTTTAAATAAGTGATGTCCCAACTCCTTTGTGTTTTTGTACTGAACTATCTTGGATGTTGGGATCTTCTCCACTTCAGTTCCCCCAAGTGACAGAACATGTTAGACCATCCATTAAGTTGGTTTGAGACTGGGAATCCAGAAGGCAGAGTGCTTGCTCCTCTACACCAGCGGTTTTCAACCGGTGTGCCGTGGCACACTGGTGTGCCGCAAGGATTTTTACAACATGCAGTACCTGACTATTCAGTCGGAAGCATTGACTTCTTTTCCCTTAGATTGTCAAATTTAAAAAATGACAGCCAACACAATAGCCATCCAGTGTGAATGAATCAAAATTATAGCTAATTTTTAGTCAGATCGGCAAAATATATATATTTTTTGGTGTGCTACAGAATTTTAGCAATTAGTTTGTGTGCCGTGAAATGAAAAAGGTTGAAAAACCGCTGCTCTACACTAGTGTATTCAAGCAACAGTGGTTGAATGCCAGGGGTTAGAAATACAAAAACATTTCTCTTTGTCCTTTTGGATTTTCGGAATCTAGGAGAGGAAATTAGTCAGTGTTGAATAACACTAAAGCAAAGCAAATCATCCCACCAGTGGCTTCCCATGCCGTGTCCTTGCGGTATTCTAAGCGTTATGGATTGAGTAGTACAAGCGGATAGAGCAGGTCTTAAACACCCGTGTTAGGATTATTTTCCTGCCAAACCAGTTCTGGCAGAATATCCCACTTTGGTCTCGCAGCACATTAATATATTGAATCGACGTCCTTGAAAGGTGGCATTGGCTGCTGGACAGGTCTGGACTGAGCGAGACACTCGAGCTCCCACCCGCTGTGCTGACTTACTGCCTCTTTCACTTGAAGCAAGCGACTTAATCTTGTGCCTGCTCTTCTGGTTTGTAAACCGGTATGATGATTTAGCTCCTGCCTCCCCCGTGACAGTCAGTGTGATGCAATGAGATAGATAATAATGTACAGGTTCTGAACAGATCGATGCAGTTTCTGAGCTAATCATCAGTTTGCCACTAAGTTTATATCACATTTCACTGATCATCCTTATAAATTCCTTTATATAGTTACTCAGGGTCTTAAATTTTAAAAAGAAAGGGGAGGGGCACTTTGAATTACTGTGTTTATTTGCATTCAAATTTGTTTCCATTATTTGTAGCTCTGTGTGCTAACTTCTGTTGTAGGGAAGAGAGATTTTGTGGCTTAATATATCCATTATGCCACTTTGGCATTCCAGCGTTTATTTACCCAAAAACATGACTTCGGGCCTACAAGCCGTTCGCAGCTGGTTGATGAATCACGTTCAACATTCATATAGCACAGAGCAAAGGAACAGTCATGCTCATCACCTGCCCCTGTCAGTCCTTCCTCTTCTAATAAAGTGCATCTGTTTTGGTGACTAAAGAAAAACACACCAAGCAGAGAACATCTGGGTGTGGAGTAATGTAATCAGGGCAGTGATACAGTATCAAGGATAGAAGATGGCTCAGCAGCAGCTTGTTGAAACAGAAGCCGACTGGGAAGGACCCGAAGCGTAGTTATAATCATAGAGGGTCACACTCCTTGAATGTACATGGCCCAGTCTGTCCCCAGTCAAGATTTTAAGGGGACAAGATATCCATAATCTCCCTTCTGAACTGCCACAATGGGTTCCATGGCCTCTCCCCATTAGGACCAGTTTAACATTCTGTGGAGGATTATACATCTTTAAGGGAGTTCAAACCAAAGTCCAGATCTCCACGAGCACTGTTCCTGTTGGCTCCAGCGGCTCGGTTTGGTGTCCTGAGCAAGTGATGAACTGAAAACAACCTGGTTTTAAAAGTAAAACAGCAGGGACATTGACATTTTGCCGTCCAGAATTTTACAGTTCTCACTACTCGTGTTTTTAAATTTTTTCTTTGACTATACAGTAGCATATACTTGTGTGTTTTATTTAAAAGAGGAGAAATTAAACATGTTCAGGGTGCCTGTCTGCCTTGAGCCTCATCATCTCAGAATGTTGGGGAGAGGTGATAATTAGGGGGATATGGACTGTTTTAAATGTATTAGAGAGCGAGTTGAGTAATAACAACGGTATCACTGTAAGTACTAGGTCTGTGTGGTTGTTATTATTTCTATGCTTCTTTTAATGGCCCACCTGGCAGCACTCTGAAAATCATTACTGCTGAGGAAAGGGTTCCTGTCTAAGATGGAAACTCGGGACTTCAACAGCAGCATCTCTGTCTCCATTTCTAGTTCTGTCGGTGATGACGCTGTTCCTCTTTTTAAACTTCAGCTACGTCATTTTCACCTCTCTGTGTGTGTTTTTTCTGTGAAACAAAATTTGTGATACCTGATGTTTTATTAACAGGTGTTCTGGAAATAATCTGTCTCAAAAGTTCAAGGGTTTTGAATGTTAATTATGACTTTAAAAAATCAATCTAATGAATGCTTCACATTGAGACCGTTTATTGTTAAGAAACCTAGTGGTAAATGATACATATCCTACAGCTCTGTCATCATGGTTACATATGTGACTCAGATCACATATTAGCATTTTTACCATATGGCTGAAAGGGTAGAGAATACGTGTGTAGGGGAACAAGTCGGTAACATTTTGACCATCTGGTAAATAAATATGCAAGTAGCAGGAATTTTAATATTTATTCAGTGATAGGGATGCATCCTTTAATTTGAAATAGCCTCTAATGCAATAAAGTAGAACTGAATTTATATTTCTCAAATATTTTTTTAATTTTGTAGCTTTTTCACATTTATAGTCTATGTGCTCTTAAAATCTGACTTCAATTATGTGTTTCTTATGTTTATTTATTTATTAGGGGTCCTTAAAGTGCCTAATGTAAAACATCTTTTAGGAGAGGCCACTGGATGGGATCCAGCCTATGAGCTCAAGTGCTGACATTCTGCTCTGACATCGACCACTGTGTGGTCTGGGATAAATTACTTGGCCTCTCTGAGCCTCAAATTCTTCATCTGTAAGGAGTGAATAGCCCTGGCTGGTGTTTCTCAGTGGTTAGAGCATAGGACCATGCAATGAAGGGTCTCGGGTTTGATTCCTGGTCAAAGGCACATACCTGGGTTGCAGGTTAGATCTCTAGCCCTGGTCGGGGTCATGTGGGAGGCAACCAATTGATGTGTCTCTCTCACATTGATGTTTCTCTCTTTCTTTCTCTCTCTCTCTTTCTCTACCCCTCCCTTCCACTCTCTCTAAAAATCAATGGGAAAATGTCCTCAGCTGAAGATTAACAACAACAATAAAAAAGAGTGAGTAACATATTTTCAAACAGTATCTCTCAAAGGGCCATGGAGGGCCATAGATTGATGCATCAAACTCATGTGGGAAGCTCGTCCCAAAATACCAACATAGTAGCCCCTCCTTCCAGAGAAGATTGAGTCAGTATGTCTTGGAAATAATCTATGAATCTGCACTTTTAGTCACTCTCCCAAGTGATCCTGAGGTACACTGAACTATTGTTATGGAAACTAGTAGATTATAGCACTTAGCTCCCTTGAAAAATATGTAGTTAGCTAATCCTAACAAATACTAAAATGTCTGTTAATGATTTATTATTATTAATAAGCATAACTCTAAAATATACTTTTCATATCCTAGAAATTTAACATGACAGCATTGGTGCTTAAAATATTCAAACTTTATTGAAAATAAGAGTTCAGCTTGAACAAGTAATGCTAGTGATTCATTAAATATGTGTCTCAATTCTCCTTGTTTAATTAGACCCTTTTTTTCCCCTTCTTGCACAGGAAACCACAAGTATCCGTGGACTGGATCTAAATCAGGAGCCCAGATGAACTTGCAGAAGCTAGCGTGGGATTCTCAGTTCTTCATACACGCCAAACCCTTAATCACCACAACTCCAGTGTCTAGGCTTTCTCCGTTTTTATGAGGATTTAGCAAACCTCGGATGATGGAAAAGCAAAGGACTTAATCCTCACTTCTGTATCATCTAACATCAATGGGAAGGTGAACTAGATGGTAGTACAGCCATGGAAAGAAACTCAAGTCTATGGAAGGACCTAACAGATGAACACCCAGTCTGCACAAGCTGGAAGCGAGAGGCCGAAGGAGCCATTTATCATCTCGCCAGCATTTTATTTGTAGTGGGTTTCATGGGTGGCAGTGGATTCTTCGGACTCCTTTATGTCTTCAGTTTGCTGGGGCTGGGTTTTCTCTGCTCTGCTATCTGGGCTTGGGTAGATGTCTGTGCAGTCGACATATTCTCCTGGAATTTCGTACTCTTCATTATCTGCTTCATGCAGTTTGTTCACATTGCATACCAAGTGCACAGCATAACCTTTGCCCGAGAATTCCAGCTGTTGTACAGCTCCATTTTCCAGCCTCTGGGGACCTCCTTGCCCGTCTTCAGAACAATCGCTCTGAGCTCTGAACTGGTTACTTTGGAAAAGGAGCACTGTTATGCCATGCAGGGGAAGACCTCCATTGACAAACTCTCTCTGCTTGTTTCAGGAAGGTTTGTACTCTTGGTGCTTGAATGTCTTTCTTCTACAATAGTTACTAGCTTGGCTTCCTTTCTGCCACGTTTTCTATCTCACTGTAGCATAATTCCGGTGGCATTTAACACCCTGAGGCATGAGAAAGCCCCTCAAGCAGGAGTCACGGACATAGGCATTTAGAGTTCATGGTATTATCCTGAAGAAATAACTTAGAGCATTAATGTTTCTTTTTAGAAATCAAATGTATGAATTGATTTGTCTGGATATGCCGTGTGTTTCCAAGCTAATTACTGAAAGTCAAGAAGAGTATTGAATTCATACAATACTTATTTTGGCATGCAAAGTAATTTAGATGCTCATAGAGCATTCTTTCTAGTAATAAAGAACATTAAATGTTATAATGATTAACTCTTTCAGTAATTTCTAGCAATTGCCCATTTGATAGAAGCAAGGTGGGTGTACCTCATTTTATATATGCACACATGTACACAGAGTTGAACAACACAGGGCTAAGAACGCTGACTTTCGCAGAATTAAAAATCCATGCATAACTTTTGACTCCCCAGACTACTTAATAGCCTACAGTTGACGAAGCCTTACCCATCATTTAAACGGTTAACACATATTTTGCATGCTATATATATTATATATTGTATTCTTACAGTAAAGTAACCAAGAGAAAATGTTATTAAGAAAGCTATAAGAAAGAGAAAATATATCAACAGTTTTTTTTTTTTGTGTTTTTTTTTTTTAATCCTTACCCAAGGATATTTTTCCATTTATCTTCAGATAGAGAGAGAAAGAGAGGGAGGGAGAGAGAGAAACATCGAAGTGAGAGAGACACATAAACTGGTTGCCTCCTGCATGACCCTGACCAGGGCCAGGGATGAACCGTAACCGAGGTATGTGCTCTTGACCAGAATCGAACCTGTGACTCTTTGGTCCTCGGGCCGACACTCTAACCACTGAGCAAAACCAGCCTGGGCGTATCTACAGTTTTTATTGGGAAAAAAATCACATATAAGTGGACCTGCAAAGTACATGCCCGTGTTGTTCAAGGGTCTATACACACACACACACACACTTTGAAAACAGAAAGTTTGGAAAAGGAAGCAATATGATTATTTATGTTTTTTAAAAGGTTCAGTATTTGATTTTCAGAGGTATTTACAGTGGTGCTCCTTTGTGTTCTTCAGTGTTGTACTTAATTTAAAATCTGGCTGAGTTCACTGAAACTTTCTACTGAAGTATAATATGCATGCATAAATGGGCGCGTACCATAAATGTACAGCATGATGAGTTTTCTGATGAATTTCGCCCAATGTTCCAGAACACTAATTGTGGGAGAAGCATCAGTACATGAATCTTATAGGAGATTTGCCACTTATTGTAATGTAGGAATTCAATATTTGCCCTTTAAAACTTTAATAGCCAAAAAGGTCATCAGAGATCTGAAATATTGCGCCGTCCCCTTGCCCCAATCATGTGTTGGCTTTCTCCTTCCTCATAAATGCTGTTCTTTGTGTTTGGGTAGGATCCGAGTGACAGTTGATGGCGAATTTCTGCATTACATTTTCCCCTTCCAGTTCCTGGATTCTCCTGAATGGGACTCACTGAGACCCACAGAGGAAGGTGTTTTTCAGGTAAGGGATAGCGAGAGTACAGAGTGAACATGCCTTTTCCAAACAGATAAACACATCAGCAGGTGACAGAGGAATAATTTATATTTAACTTTGGAATGTACTATGTAGCTTGACTTCCCAAAGCCATTTGACTCTTGCTGACTAATGTCACTTTTTGGAGTCCAGCAGCAAGAAAAATGGGTATTTCATATGACAGGAAGCAGTCACAAAAAATAGTCTTAATTTTTTTTTTTTTTTTGCTTAACTGCATATATGGAAATTAAAATTATAAAAATCTGCCCTGGCCGGTTTGGCTCAGCGGTTAGAGCGTCGGCCTGCGGTTCCCGCTAAGGGCGCGTACCTCGGTTGCAGTTTGTCCCCGGCCCTGGTCGGTTGTGCGGGTGGCAGCCACTCGATGTGTCCCTTTCACATCGATGTTTCTCTCTCTCTCTCTCTCTGTTCCTCTCTCTCCCTCCCACTCTACCTGAGCAAAAAATGGAAAAATGTCCTTGGGTGAGGATAAAAAATAAATAAATAAATAAAATAAAATTATAAAAATCTGCCCGTATTACAAAATAAGTGATTTTTTAAATTTAAAAATGCTGATGGATTGCAGGTGTTTTCTAGCAACAAAATGCTAAACTTTCTGCTGCATGTCTGGTAGTTTTGAAAGATAATCAGTTCAGCCTGGCTGGTGTGGCTCAGTGGAGTAAGCGTCGGCCCATGGACTGAGAGGTTCCAGTTTATTTTTATTTTTTTATCCTCCTCACCCGAGGACATTTTTCCATCTTTTGTTCAGGTAGAGTGGGAGGGAGAGAGAGGAACAGAGAGAGAGAGAAACATCGATGTGAAAGGAACACATCGAATGGCTGCCACCCGCACAACCGACCAGGGCCGGGGACAAACTGCAACCGAGGAACATGCCCTTAGTGGGAACCGAACCCGGGTCTCTCAGGACCGCAGGCCAATGCTCTACCGCTGAACCAAACTGGCCAGGGCGAGGTTCCAGTTTAATTCCGGTCAGGGCACGTGACGGGATTGCAAGCTCAATTCCCAGTAGGAGGCTTACAGGAGCTGACCAATGTTTCTCTCTCACATCAATGTTTCTATCTCTGCCTTCCTCTCTGTCTAAAAACATCAATGAAAACATTAAAAAAAAAAAAAAAAGATAATCAGTTCAGTAGGTTCTATTATGGTATATACTGTTTTCCTATGATTAATACATGTAACATACATGTGTGTCTACAAATATAAATGTATATACATATGCAGAATAGGTAAATAAATTCTATTTTATACTTTTGAAACTGGATTAGGGTTAAATGTCCACAGTCTTTAGTACTGACCCTCTGTAACATTAGCCAACTGTATTATTGTTTAGTTATAAGTAGCTCTTGCTTCAATAAAATGCAGAATATAGATATCTGAACTTAAAAAAACAGATCTATTGGAGATAGGCACAATGTTGTGACTATTCATGTTATAAATTATATATAATAAAAATTTTGTAGTTATATGTATATGCATATTTTTTCATTGATTTTTCTTTAGAGGGAGAGAGAGAAATACCCACTGGCTACCTCCTGCATGCCCCTTGCAGGGGATCGAGCCTGCAAGCAGGGCCCTGACTGGGAACTGAACCTGCAGCTTCTTGGTGCAAGGGGTGACGCTCAGCTAGCTGAGCCACCCCTGCCAGGCTGTAGTTTCTCTTCTATTTTTACAATATGTTTAGGGTCAATTGGTTTTTTAACCTAAAAAAGCAGAAGGGAAATTTATTTACAATTTGGGGCACAAAAAAAAATGTGACAGAACTTTTCTTGCTCCCTAATCTCTGTTTATATGTGGTTGTGTTGTTTTCAGGTGACCCTCACAGCAGAAACTGATTGTCGATACGTGTCTTGGAGGAGAAAGAAATTATATCTGCTCTTCGCTCAGCATCGCTACATCTCTCGCCTGTTTTCAGTTTTAATTGGCAGTGACATTGCAGATAAGCTCTATGCCTTGAATGACAGGGTGTACACAGGGAAAAGGTACCACTACGATATCCGGTTACCCAACTTCTATCAACTTTCAAGTCCTGGAAAGCCCAGATCACCCCTGATAGGACATTTTCGGAATTCCAGACAATACTGTGATAAGTGACATCGAAATCTGAAGTTTTATAATTATTTTAAAAAGACTCTCTTCATCATTCCCCAAATGAAATAAGAAAATACAGTTAATTGAACTCACTAATATTTTTATAAATCAAACTCCGAGGCAAGATGCCACTGCCAGCTATTTTATTCATCTCAACTTCTGCATTGCGAATACACTTTACCACTTTTCCTGTATTTCTTGTTTGAGTAAATGCGGGGGAGGATGGATCCCGGCAGTTTGTCCTTTTCTGCATCAGAAGTGGGAGAACGAAATTCTGCATTCTCAGATATTTCTTCAGATTTATTCAAATCTGTTGTCTTGCCCTGCTGAGTTAGTGAGGCTTCTCCCCGAGCAGTCAGTAAGGACTCAGTGGGAGAAGGTGTTGATGTGGAAACATGTGTTTCCAGAATTCACCTTTTGCTACAACCTCTGATGAAAGCAAGATGCATTACTGTGGTGGGCGACAATTATTTATGTTAAATGTGAAGCTACTTGATATGACTAGAAAGTAGAACAAATGTGAGAGATGATAATATTGCAATCTTGAAGACCATTCTGTTGCTACACATCGTTCATCTGCTTAATCTTTACAATAACATACTTTAAAAGGGGCATTTCAAGGAAAACAAAAATGCATAAGAATTACTGAGTAAAAAGAATACCTGTGAACAAATAGTAAAAATGTTGCGTAGCATTTTTATTTCATACATTCAGTTCAAAGGGCAAGTGTGAGTGGTTTGACTGGACCGTGAGGGACTCAGCGAATGTCCTACCTACCAAACAAATAAGGGAGTCTGCCTGACAGCCATTCCTTCAGCTCTGTAAAGAAGAGCTTAAGGAAGGGACAGAGCTTCAGTCATAGATCCTATCCATATTTTTGGAAAACTGGTTTTTCGAACATCACACGCAAGCCATGGTGGGATACACCTACTACTGGGCAGTGGGATACATCAGGTAACTGACAGAGGTCTCATTCCTTACATTCTGGGGGTGGAAGACAGATAAAATAAATCAGAAAAAACTAGAGTTAGAAAGAGATAGTGCCATGGAAAACGATAAGTCAGGGAAGGTATAGGAAGGGGCATTGGAATATATGTATGTATGTATGTATTTACTTACTTATTATTTAATTAGTTTTCATCCTCACCCAAGGATATTTTTCAGATAGAGTGGGAGGGAGGGAGGAGGGGGCGAGAGAAAGAGAGAGAAAGAAACATCAGTGTGAGAGAGATACATCGATTGGTTGACTCCCACACGACAGGGACCGAACCAAGGTACATGCCCTTGACCAGAATTGAATTCTCGACTCTTGGGTCTGAGGGCTGATGCTCTAACCACTGAGAAACCAGCCAGGGCAGGGGCATTGCAATTTAATAGGGTGGTCAAGGAAGGCCTGAGTGAGAAGGTAACGTTTGAACAAAACCTGAAAGAGACAAAGAACAACCCCTGCAGATACCTGAGCACAGTCTGGCCAGAGAGGAGAGCACATGGGGAGGCTTCTGGGTATGAGCAGGAGCAGCTGCAAGACCAGCGTGGCTGCAGCAGCAGGGGCGCCAGGGAGAGACTGGGGGGGCCTGGAAGTCATGGTAAGGGCTTGACTTTTATTCTGAGAGCGACCAGCCACCGGGGAGTTTTAAATAGAAGAGTGATATGATCTGCCTTATGTTTTAATAGAATCATGTTAGCTAGTCTGCTGAGAATAGACTGGGGGAGGGGACAGGGAGGAAAAGGGTGGACTTGGAAGGGGACATCAGGGTTAAGTGGGATATGCCAACTAGACCCTGAAGTAAACAGACGAGTCTAGAGTTCAGGAGAAAGGTCTGGGCTAGAGAGAAATGTGTGGGAGAATTTCACATAGAGATGATATTTAAATCCGTGCGGCTGGGTGAGATGGCCAAGGGAGTGAGTGTGGATGCAGGAGAAAAATGGTCCAAGGACCTTTTCTTGGGGTTTCCCGTTGTTAAGAGGACAGGGAGATGGGGGAAAGTCAGCAAAACGTGAAATGGAGCAGCTAGTGAGGTAGGAAAGAAGTCGGGAGTGTGGAGCCCTTGAAGGCAAGCGAAGAAAGTGCTTCACGGAATCGGGAGTGATGGACTGTCTCAAATGTGGCTGACAAGTGAAATGAGGTCTGAGGATAAATCACTGGGTTGAGCAGGCATCGAGCTCTCTGGTGAACTTGATAGGAGACAAAAAATGTACTGAAGCAGGTTGAGGGGAAATGAAGAGCAAGTATAAGTACGTTTTTCAAGCAGTTTTAATGTGAAGAGAAGTAGAAATGGCCAGTAGCCTGAGCAGGAAATGAGGTCAGGAGAGAGGATGCTTTGTTGTTGTTTTGAAGGTAAGAGAAAAATGGTGTGCTGATGGGAGGGATTCAGAAGGGTCAACTGCTGGGGTGATGACCTTGAGCCATGAGTGATGATGCGATCCCATGACCTTAAGCAGGAACATGGACAATTAATGATTACTAAGGAGAGACTGCAGAATACACGGGAAGACGGTTGTTGGCAAGTGAGAGATGTTGTGGGATCTTGTAAAAGTTCTGTCATAATCCCTTCTATTTCTCAGCGACCTAAGTCAGCAAGAAGGATGGGGAAGTACTGGGATTGTCCAAAGTACACACTTTTTCTGTATGTTAGCATCTGCCGTAAGTGGTACAGTGTGACAAGGTCCGAATCATTCGTCTGGATGAGCTGCTCAAGTTCAGCAAGAACAAAGGAGAAGCTGGAGACCGGTGCCCATCAAGGGCAGCTCTTGCAGACAATGCAGCTCTCTGCCGGGTACAACTGAAGGCCTCGGGAAGCACTCACTGACTTACCCGTGGGCTTCGCAGTGGCTCTGGGGAAATTCATTTCTTTGAGCCTTTAAGACTCTGTGGTATTAAATATTAAAATAAAGGTCCTTATGTAGAAGTCACACCTTATGTTAATACCAACTTAGAGTTTAACAGGGGTACAGGGGTTAATTATCAGATAGCTTTTTTTTTTTTTGAATCCTCATCCAGGGGCATGCTAAAACAGAAGAAGGGAGGGAGCTGGGGGGTGGGGGTGGAAAGAAACATTGAAGTGAGAGAGAAACCCACAGCCCAGGCATGTGCCCTGACTGGGAACCAAACCAGCAACCTTTTGATGCACAGGCCGATCCTCAGCCATCTGCCCGGGTTCAGGTAGCTTTCTAACCATGAAAGGCAATGAGAACAAAGCCACACAGAAATGAAATGTAGGTTTTTTGCTGAAATCATGTGGCAGAGGGGGAAGACTTTACCTACGAGTTTTCCAGAAACCTGACCATTTTTCGGGTGAAGAGGGAGGAGTGCAGACACGGCAGGATGAAGGCCCGCGGAGAGAGGTCAGGAGCTGCTGTGGAATCTGCACATTGTGTGGGGCTGGCACCCTCCATGTTAACAGATACGCTAGTACCAGCCCCTTGATTTGTACCCCAGTTTTCTCACTTAAAAAAGAACAGAACCACCTGGCCGGTGTGGCTCAGTGGTTGAGTGTCGACCCATGCACCAAGAGGCCGCCAGTTGCATTCTAGATCAGGGCACAGGCCCGGGTTGTGGGCCCGATCCCCAGTGTGGGGCATGCAGGAGGCGGCCAATCGATGTTCTCTCTCATCATTGTTTCTATCTCTCTCTCCTCTCCCTTCCTCTCTCCTCTAAAAATCAATAAAGAAAAAAAAAACTTTTTTTAAAAAACAACAAACCAAAACCCTGCAGTGACCTCTATATATCTACTCTACATGATTAGTTCAAAATGTCTAACAAATCACATTTCACTATCTCAAAATAATCAGCCCAGATGGAAAGAATAAATTACTGATATCCCAGAAAAGTACCCCTCAATTGCAACATCACAGTACACTTAAAATTTAATTTCTATTAAAAATTGGGCTCATTTTCATCTCAGCCTAATTGTTCCAGCTCTAAATTCCTTTGATTCGTTTATTATGGGTAAAAATGCAATAAGATGAGGAGTGGGTGGTTTTCTTGTGTCAAAATGCATTATAGCATTGTATACAATATCTGTATATGCACCTTTTTCAAAAAGTATTAAGGATTTCAAGACCAAGACAATATAGCATAAACCAGGGGCAGGGCTCTTGTAAGCTTGAGGCTCCTGCCCTGGCCAGTTTGGCTCAGTGGTTAGAGCATCGGCCCACGGACCAGAGAAACCCATGTTCGCTTCCCGCTAAGGGCACGTACCTCGGTTGCAGTTTGTCCCTGGCCCAGCTGAGGTCGTATGGCTGGCAGCTAGTCGATATGTCTTTCTCACATCGATGTTTCTTTCTCTCTCTTCTTCCCTCTCTCCCTCCTGCTCTATCTGAAGATAAATGCAAAAATGTCCTGGGGTAAGAATAAAAAAAAAAAGCTTGAGGCTCTTTGTGACTGCACAGGACACATGCCCACGAAGTCGGTCCCGCCCAAGAGTTGTCCCTAGGGCTTGAAGGAACTGGAGTGAGTGCTGTGTGCTTTTCTGCCCTAAATTTAATGGTCAGAAAAGACTCTGAGAAGTAGACTGAGGGGTGAAGGGAGTTGCTTAAAAAGAGCCATAAACACCTCCACCCCAGGCACCAAGGCAAGTTCCCAGGGGCTTCAGGTTCCTCTCGCACATTCTTTACTTGACCTGGATATTTGGAGGCTTCCTGTCCTGCCCAGGGGCCGGTCCTTTGAATCTGATTTGACCTCTGTCCAAATATGGCAAGGGAGCAACATGATTTGCCCTGGACTCCACACTCCCAGGAGCTCATGGTACTGAGATTAATCTACCACAAAAACAGTGTGATGCTCTCTGAGCACTTCTGGGGTGAAGAATTTTCTCTCCTCCTCAACAGAGGAGCAGAAGGAAATCCATTTGCTCTCTGCTCATCTGGTTAAGCTCTGGGTGTCATGTTACACTGCACAGAACCAGAAGGCCAGAACTGATTTGACAGAGTAGTTACAAAGTGAAATCTCTCAGCTAAGCTGGCAAGAGCCCTAAGAAAAACATACCCGCCAGATAGTTCATATTATTATAAAAGCAACACATTATACAACATTATGTACTTGAGACTCCTGGTTTGACCAAGGGCATGAATATATATGTGGCATTGGAGTGCACTTTCTATCTGGGTTTCATGTTCCATTATATTGCACATGGCTATAGAAGAAATAAGCCTTCAGAAACAGTGTTCCCCAGTGAATGTTTTCTTAGTA